AATTTGTGGATTTTAAGTGATGTGTCTTGGTTCCTGGCTATTTGGATTAACACTTCGATGAACTGAAATTCATATCTTCAATCGTGGGGCTAGCAACTGCTACAGATGCTTTGATTAGTAGTGCATCAGCTGGCGGTCGTGCCGCCATTTGTTTTGCCTTTTATAGGGATTATTAGTTTAGCAGTTCTATTGGCAAAAGCACTTAGCAAGTCTTTAGCTGTTTCGAGATGTCGTTGATGTATATCGAGAAACGCTCTTTGTCGCGAACATTGTCACTTCTAAACCGCATTGACTTATCGATTTGAAGTTCGTGAATAATACGAAGCGGAAAAAAATTTTTCAGAAAAGAAGCTGTTTTTGAAATGCTAGAGTAGATATCGAAATAACTTTTTTTTTCGCAATTGTTTACCAGTGCTTTTGTGTGTTTTTTTTTTTTTAAATTCCGACTTTTTTAAGGCTAGCGATGACCTGGAGGAATTAAGTGAGTCTGGAAAAATGCTCGCAAAAGAGCAAATTCTTACGCAAAATGCCGCTGATGATTTGACAAGAAAAGTTGACCATCTGGCTGGAAAACTAAAAAATCTGAACGGCAGAGTAAGTCTTAATTGACTTGAAAAGTAATGAAAGTTCTTAAAATTAATTCTAAAAAGAGCAAGGAGATCACATTAAAAAGTTCATATTTTTTTTTTACGGGAAAGCCTGCTCATCACTGATTCATATTTGGTACGTTATCCTATACCGGTGAAGTGAGTCGAAGACTGTTTTTCCAGAAATTCCGATAAACGCAGACTTAAATACAGACATTTCGCCAAAAATGCCTTTGATTTATACAGAAATCCTGATTTTTAGAATAGTGAAATGATAGAACGTATGAAAAATTGTATCACAGTACTCGATGATGTTGGTTTCGATATGCAGAAGCTGGATGCCGTATTTGAAAGTGTTGAGTCGCGACTCAATGCTTTTGTGCGATCCGAAAATGTGGAAACAGCAGATGCCGATCGAATAACTCTGGAAGCATTGCTGGAGGATTTGAATCAGTGAGAATTCTTTGAAGTTTTTTTTAACATGGAAATTTTTGGAAAAGTGTGTAAGAGTAAAGAGGTGGCGCACACGCATGTGACAATTGGTGGTACCGACTGGAGGCATGCAGCCCAAGTTTGAAGAAACGCCTGGCATAACAACTGCTCCTAGCGTATGGCGGAACTGCAGTAATATCACTAACATGGAACATCCACACTGATTATCCTGACGATCTTGTTATTCTTTGTATCAATAGTTTTTGCTTCGTGAATTTATACGTTACATTTGCATTGTAAAATGTGTTTTGCGCGGTTTTTATTGGTTTCATCCGACTGCGAAAGAAACTAAAAACAGATAGCAAAGCAAACATTTGTTCGCTTTTAAACAAGTGATAAACACCTCACATCGATAAATGACCTCTGTGGAGAAGGCAAATGACCATTCGTGCGGTTCCTGAAAGAGTGAAGCAGAAGAAAAAATAAAAAGTGTTGGATGCTAACAGGAAGCATGCAGTTTGGGATTCAAGGATCTGCCACATGTAGGAGCATCCTCGTAATATTACTAGCATGTAATTCCAGTTGATTTTTTTTTTCGTGATTTTTAACCTTGTTTTCTTTTTTAGAAATATGGCCCTATTAACAAAAGCAGAGAATGCACTACAGCGATTGGTACTGGATTCGTTCAAAGTGGATGAAACGGTGATTGAGCAGAGGAAACGACGAGCCGTCCGCCTGCAGTGCGATTTACGCTCCTGGATTGATGCAGCAAAAGTAATTT